GGGACCCTCTATGTATACAAGTTCAAAATTTGAATCTTCCACACTTTGGCTCAAAGCATTTTGTGAAGGAAACAAGGTTGTGGGGAAGAGATAGAGCAGGAAGAGAAACTACCCTTTTCAAGCGTCTCCAATGTGCTAGTATAGCTCTAGCAACACTCAAATACTTCATTGGGTCTTCACAACAACCCTTTGAATTCAGCTCATTTTATAGATGTGGAAACAAAACACAAAGATCTAAGTGAGGAAGTAGGTTCATGTTTAGCTTATAATTATTGTGCTGAATTAGATTGATCTCAGCTTAATGTAGTTACTCAATTGATATTTACTGTGAATTTACTATGTATAAGCATTACAATATATCATAGAGGAAACAAATTACTTCCACTCTACTAATGGAGAAAAAAACACTTCACTAATGAGGAGGTCATTCATATCCACTGAAATAATATTTTCAGATGACAACAGTAGGGGTAAAAGCAACCATCCAGTGGTTTAAAAAGTGAATTTCTGGTGAGGAAAAAGAGGTAATAAACATGTAATAGCATTCTCCCTGAACATGTTGGTTCAGGTTAAAAATTCTTAGGCTCCTTTAAAAATTGAATTTGCTCAGTTATATTGAGTCATTCATTCAGAGACAGCCTGAAGGCTGGGACATTAATTAGAACCGTTTGTAGCAGATCCAAATCTAACACAGATCTCCACTTTAAAAGGCAGGGAGAGGAGGGAGTGGGGAACAGCCTCCTGTTTCCAGAAAAGAATTGTTTCAGGAGACCAAAAAGAAAAGGGAATTATGAAAGGAAGCTGCATCAGAAGGTAGGAAAAGAATCGAACAGAAAGAGAATGACTGCTCTAAGAAGTAATAAAAACTTCATCAGTCAATATATTGTTCTGGCTAAGCACATGGACTTAAACATCAATAAGACCTGGATTTGGGTCCTGATTCCCTTGAAGAAAGCTATTTGACATCTTTGAGCCTCAGGTTTCTCATCTGAAAATGGGGGGAAATATTACTACTACTTACTTTTGTATAGTGATTATAAAGGTTAAATAAGAAAATACAAAGAAAATGCCACTGGGACATTGAGAGCTCTTAGTAAGTAGCTCCTATTATGATTAGTAAGTGATTTAAGGAGACTGTGTCCTTGAATTCAGTGAATATATAGTAACCCACTAGTGCCATATTAATTCAATGAAATGCTAAGCAATCTTTAAAATATATTTTACAGCAGTAGTTCTTAACTGTTCCCCATTCAGGGATGGGGGTTGCACTTTTAGAGTTTGTAGGGAAGGTTTTTGGACATCACAGTCATGCAAAGAGTAGGAAGTGATACTTGAGATTAGTGGACAGAGCTTAGGGATACTAGATATTCTAGAATTCTCAGGAAAGTCCTGCACATAAAAGAATGCATGCCCATGCTTCCTACATGATTTTCAAATATCCCTTTAGAATTCATGTAGTTTTACCTACACGAATGTCTAGAATGTCTAGAAAAACATGTGTAAAATGATATGAACCTAGACCTCAACTCTATTTCACTTAAAACATTTTTCATGGTTTTAATATGAATTTTCTAGGAGTGCAGCTATTATGTGAATAGAGAAAAGAATTTTTTGCTTGGAATCTTACTAAAAGTAGTTTACCATTGTGGTAAAATTACTGACTCATGACAATGTCACTTCTATGACAAATCAACACATCTGTAAATCTGTCTGCTTTTGTAGATGTGGCATTCACATTAAAGCCATAAGCATCTAACTTCTTCATTCTAACCTCTGATAAAGTCATGCCCGAGCATTTTATATACTATTTCATTATAAACTGTTTTCCTTTTAATTATCTTATATACTATAGCTATGGCATTATGTTGCTTTTTAATACATTGTGCATATTCATACAATACATTACCTATGCATTTCATGTCAGGATAATAAAGAAGGCATTACAAAATATTTGCTATAACGGGGAGTGTTGGGTCTGATGGGGCTGAGAACCAGGCTCTAGAATTATATTTAATGTCATGAAAATATATTAACAATATAAAGTCAAGTGGAAAAAGTAAATTTCAAGCATTATCTATTGGTGTCATTTTTATAAACAAACACAAACAAAAACCTCAAGAACTCACACTCCTTCCCCTATAATATCTTATGGGATCATAGTAACTCAACTGAAGAGGTGGGTCTCTTCTTATGTGCTCTACAGTTCTATGGAGCAACTTGACCAAAGAATTTGTGTATTTTATTTCAGTTGGAGAATTATAGAAGTGTATTGTTTGAGTTCCCAGGAATAAGATGAGAAATGAAATATGGATTCTAATTGTGGCTTTATTATTTAAGCCAAGTCACTTTACTTTTAATGGCCTGTTTTCTTTACCTGATAAGCCTAAGATACATGATCATTAACACAAGATTTACAGCTTTCTGGTTCTCTGATTCTAAAGCAAGACTTTGCTGATTATAGGTTCAGGTAATGCTTCCCCAAGTATGCTTCATAGAGCACTGATACAATAGGCCACTGATAGGTGTTAAGAAAATAGGGTTCTGTGGTCAATATCGGAGAAAAAACTGGGTGAAGTTAAACATGTTTCTTTAAGTAAGACATTTCAATTTCTTTGCTAAAGTTAAGAGCATTTTGAGTTTTCAAAAGAAGTATAGTGTGTAGCATTTCCTGTATATATTTGACCATAGAATCTCCTCTCTCCCTATAATCTGAAAATCTCATGGAAGTAGCTTTCTGCATAGCAGGTGTTGGACACAGTAAGTAAAGATGATGCACATTTAATACAGTGTTTTAGAAAAGCTTTTATTTTCAAAGGACTGAATCTCCATGGTTAATTTTCAGGCATTAAAAGAAGCAATAGTTCTGTCTAGTGATTCTCTTAAGTCACATCCTAACTTGTAAGTTCACGTTGACAGAAAGAAGGAACTGAAAGGTTAACGAAACAATGCAAATTAAACTGTGTAATGAGCATGAGTCATTTTTGAACTATAAAGTGAAAGAGAGGTTCTCCTAATATCAAAAGATTGGTCTATTTCAAAAATTCTGTCCAAAAAGACCATGTTTGGTTGGTGTATTCAATTAAAAAACTTAAATCTGAAAGGTGTTTTTATTTTTGCTTGCCTGTATTTTTTACAATGTAAATTCATTAATAAAGGGCTATTCAGAACAACAACAACAAAATATATGACCTTTAAGTAAGTGACAGTCTCCCTGTGATTTACCAGGCTGTATATTAGGAAGGGTAGATGACAAAAGCTAAGTTTTGCCAGGTGTTGATTCTATGAGTGAATTCTGAACACCCAGTGCCCTGCAAAATGCTTCCACCCCACACACCACTCCTATCTCCCTAGAAAAACAGCACAGTACAGATATAGAAAGAACGTAATATTACATATAGAAAATAAATAGGAAGAAATCAGATGACTTGAAAAATTAGAAATATTGTGTTTTCTTGATTATTTGGGGGGATTACAACACCAATATATATGAGCTAAATTTTAAAAAAGTGGAGTATAATTCTAGAAAGAACACAAATAACATTATTCCTATTGCAGAAAAGAGCATAATTTCTTTAACTAATGGTTATTTTAAAGGTCAGCTGATAGAAGTTCACCAAATTTTTGTGTTGGTATATCAGCAGTTGGTATCAGTTTTAAAAAAATTGGATGTTTGACATTTAAAGAGTTATTTTAGATTATAGAATTCTCACATTTCAAAGTGTAAATTATTTAATGAGTAGAATATCTGTTGAAAAATTTTAACATCTAGTTTATTTGCTCTGCCATACAGTGTGTTTCTGGGTCAGTTTACTATACAAGATGGTTTATTAAAACTAATTTTAATGACATAACAAGTAAAACTTAATCTACCATCAAAATAAAAACTAAAATAAACAGTCAAATAATGGGTTCTAAAACAAAGTTAAGGCTTAACAAACATATAATGTCCTTAGGGGCATAAACAGCACTGAAGTCTATATTTACCAACAGCTATTAAGTCTTTACACTAGGGGTGGGGAACCTTTTTTCTGCCAAGGGCCATTTGGATATTTATAACATCATTCGAGGGCCATAAAAAATTATCAACTTAAAAGTTAGCCTGCTATATTTGGTCAAACATTTAATTAACTCACCCCTAATGTGATGGCTGGAACTGCTTCTCTTTGGTGAAGCCTTGGCAGGGCCAGACTAAATGATTCTTGGGCCTTATACGGCCCGTGGGCCAGATGTTCCCCACCCTTGCTTTACATGTATAAGTCATTGATCTAGATTTATGGAGCAGAAACTGTTGCCACTTTAATCCAGGGTCCAAATTCAGTATCATTTATTTTGAGTCAACCTGATATTACGTGGTTTCTGATGGGAGGCAACATGACATGTAGAATGTACCTATGATGTACTCTAGCCAAAGACATTTAATTTGAATCCAACAAATCTTTGGATACAACACAGTTTACAGAAAACACAGGGGATTGGAACAAACCGAATGATAACACAAGGAAGCAATTAAACAAACCAGAAGTGTGATATTCTTTAGAACAATTGTTCTGCTTTCTTAAGCAAGTCAGGGTCATAAAAAGTGTAGTTCTAGATGAAGAGAGACTTAGCCATATTAACTGGATGCAATGTGAGGTCCTGGATGGGAGACTGGTTCAGGCAAACCAACTTTAAAGGATATTTTTGTGTCACTAAGGAATTTTTTAAACTATATCTTGTGTTAGATAAAACAAACATTTACTAAAATAGATAGGTGGACCTCATCAGCTGATAAAACCATGTTACAAAAAAATATATACAGTATGAGTTCATTTAGTTTAAAAAAATACACAGAGAAAGAACCAGAAACATTACACCACTAGATGTTAAATATAGTGGATGCATAATGTTCTTATTTTTGCTTCCCTGAAGTTTCTACAATGTAAATTCATAAATAAAGGGCTATTCAGAACAACAACAAAATACATGGCATTCAAGGAAATGACAGCTTCCCTGTGACTTACCAGGCTGTATATTAGCAAGGGTATATGACAAAACCCGTTTTGCAATGTCTTGATTCTATGAGTGAATGCTGAATCTCCAGTCTCCTGCAAAATGCTTCTGCCCAAGGCCACTCCTATCCTCCTATTCCTCCATCAGTTACCTATTTCTGGGAGTCCTCCATAAGTTAAGTGTAAACTCTTCTCCTTGTCTCCTAAAGACAGAGAAATAGACATCAGCTTTGCTCCATACTCTAGGAAGTGTTGGATGGAACTCCTTCTCTCTTGGGGCCCTTACTGTCGCCCTGGGAAGGAGGAGTGGCCAAGCGGATGGGCTAGAGCTTGACATTTACTAGAGCACAATTTATCAATGAGTAGGTTGCTGGGTCTCAAGTGCAACTCAGCATGCATTTCTTTTCCCACACCAGATGGAGTAGACCATATGTCTAGCTCCAATATGTTAGGTGGATATCCAATATGCTAGCAGAACCTCCCTCGTGTCTCCCACCAGGAGGAAATGGCCTACTATCCTCTCTCTCTTTCACCTGTAGCTGCCTGTCCACCATTTTCTCTCTTGCTATTCAAGCTCCTCACATGCGATGGGTAAGTCAGCCAACAGCCGTCTTCATTTCTGTTGGACAGTCACTTTGGCCTCACTGCAATAGCATAGCTAGTTTAACAGTCTTTAGCACAGTATAGGACATATTTTTAGAGCCTATATATTAAATGTCCTTTGTTGACAGGGAAAAATTCCATAAAGATGTATTTGGTTTCTGAAAGAAACATAAAAATGCTTCAAATAGAAAATTTAGAGCACATGAAATAAAATTTTCTCACAATACTTTACAAAAATTATAGTACAATGCATGCTTTCAAACTAACATACCAGGTAGTAAAATCTTGATAAAATGTATTATTTCTTTCCATCCCTTTACTTCTTTAGACACTCCTATTTCTCTATTGAATGTGCTGATATTTTAATTTAAAAGCATATAATAAAAATAAAAACAAAAATAAATCCAAAGGTTGAACATCTATATTTTTTGCAAATTTGGAACTTCATGGAAATTTCCTATCTGAAAAATCATCCCCATAGCAACTAACTATAACTTTACTAACAGAGTCATATATAAGTGTCAGGCCTGAGATAATATCATATAATCTTTCTATGATTTCAATCTCTAGCTCATCCTTGCTATGCAGAATTGCAGGTTGCCCTGAGAAACAAGAACCAGTAAAACAAAAGTGTGCCCTTTCTCAATGCTTTTAGCATAAAAACATGGTGACATTTGGTATTTTTGGTAAAGCAGTGATGTGGGCCAATCCATGCATTAGCATATAATCTTCTATCTACCAAAAGGATTGGTCATGTAAAAGTATTAATTTAATTGATCAGTTATAAATCCTGTACTCTAAGGAAGGAAGAAAAAAGCAAGGTAGGTGGATAGGTTGGTTCTGGGGAACTGATTAGGTTGTACCATCAGAAAACAAGGCATTGTAGCTGATAATGAAGAAATTCATTAGAGGAAGAGAGCCCAATGAGATATACTTCTTTTGACCATTTATTTGTCTTATTGTAATAGTATAACATAATTACAGAACCTACAGCAATATATAACATTTTCTGTTATTTATCATTTCTCATAATATTTTCACTTGATTATGTTCATCTTCAAATTGTTTAGAACACATAAAACCCTGTTTTTCCCCCTCTATTTTTGATAGATCAGTAAAGTGAGAAATGAAAATCCTGGCAAATTGCCAAAGGTAGCAAAAGTATTTCATGACAGAATTGGTCATAGAAATCATCATTTCTGCCTCCCCACCCAATATGAACAGATCTGTGTATTTCCACAATTTTTAAGTCTATGGCTACCTGAAGATTATTTGTAAAGAGATTACTTGAATTAAACCCATGCTTTGAGTATTTTCTATTTGTGGTTATGTCCTTTCCTCATGTCAACGTATTTTGTTTTTATGATTTTTTACTTATGATAAAATCTTACAGGATAAAGCACAGTAGCTGCTTTTTTAAGGTAGCTTTGAAAAATATATAATATTAATATAAATCAGCACAAACCTGTATACTATATTTATTAATTTAGACAAGAAACACTGTGTACTGTTGTCAGACTTAACATTTAGTATTTCATTTGTTTTCATGCCAACCCTGCAAGTACATATTATACTTCTGTTTCAGATGAGGTGAAGCAATTTGCCTGGGGTCACATAGTTAGTGGGTAGTAAGTGGCAGAGCCAGAATTTGTATCCAGATCTGTCTTACTCCAAAAGCCATAGGATTTCTACTACACCAAGTTTACATGTCAGAGTCCCTTCTCTCAAAGTGCTGTGGGTGTTCATATGGGGAGGGAGGTATATCTGATGGGGAGGGGAACCAAGTAAGGCTTCATGAAAGAAGGAGCATTGGAGCTAGTGCTTGAATGTGCTTGTTTTGATCATGTGGGAATGGAAGGTGGAGAAGTGGAAACCAAAAACAATGTGAACAAAGGTACAGAGAGGAAAGTCAGTACATATAGGTAACAAGTTTGGATGGAACCTAGGGTGAATGAAAAAGAAATGTGCAAAGTTTAGCAAGGTGTTTGAGGTTATAAAGGTCCTTGAACAAAAGGCAGTGAGAGCCTTTACTAATTATCACTGGCCTACAGGAGATACAAATATAACACACGCACTCCTAAAATTTCAATGGTATCTGGGTTAGGAGAATAACTCTCTTCTTAAGAGGAGTTTTTTTCCCCCTTTCAATTTATAAAAAGTAAGGGAACCCTCTACTCAACAACTCAGAATTTAAATGTAGGTGGTGTTTGAGATATCAAGAACAAACTCTATTGACCTTTCATTAAGATGGATAGATAAGATAGATGATAGATAGATGATAGAGACATTAAATATTGGTTTCTAAGAACAGACAATGAAAGTTTTATTTAAGTTCTTGCTTTAACTTAGATAGACATAATTATGTTTGCTTTACTAGGGTAAAACTTTTAGTTATGAAACTCAATACAATGGTTGAACTCTATTTATTTAGACTCATCAGTCATCTGATGTTGAAGTACTGGATTGTATTTATGCTGCACCTACATTGAGGCTGCCCACTAGTTTATTTATGGTGGCAGTATGTTTAACTAAAGCACTATTTTTCAGCTTCCCTTTCAGCTGGTTGTGTCCTGTCATTAAGTACTGGCCAATGAAATCTAAGCAAATATTTTTTTGCGTGGGCCTTCCAGGAAAGTGCTTAGTGGTAGTGGTAATTTTTCTCCTGCCAGGAAAATGGATGTGATAGCTGGAATCCAATGGCCATAATATCTCTGTTAACCTCTTTGGTGCATTTGAACAGAATAGAAAGAGCACTCATCTTTGCAGATGAATTTGATAAAGTTCCTCCTCTGGGTAGATGTAATACATCACACTATACAGACCCCACTCACTTCTTGATCTGGTGCCTTTGCAGTAAACAAACTGCACAACTATATGAGGTGTCCTGACAGTCACATTGGACTATGAGGCAGGAAAGGGAACCATGCTCTAAAGAAAGCAAAGCCAAAGAGAGAAGGAAACAGGGTCCCTGCTGACCATGGATGTGCCATATCAGCCCTGAATGGACTACTTCCAGACTTCTTTTGTGTGAGAGAGAAAAAAAATATTTTGTTTGTCAAAATATCTGTTATTTCAGATTTCTTTTACTGGCAGCTAATTGCAGGAAATTAAGAACACATGGCATGTTTTGAGAATTGCTACTAATTAATTAAATAAATATTCCTTGAGCATTACGTATCAGATACTCTGTGATATGCTAGGGATAAAGACAGAACTTACAATCTAGGATGTGAAAGACAGATGTGTACTTACATTGATAATTATACTATACTGTGATATAGTGGTTTAGTTTGCATATTGCACAAAGACATGTGGCCAATAGCTGAGTAGGGGCTGTGCTTTGACAGACTGTATTCACCCAGGGAGTTAAACTTTTGTAGTTCATCTCCATAAATGGGACCCCCCCCTTTTTAAAAATGTGGTTTTTTTATTGATTTCAGAGAGAGGAAGGGAGAGGGAGAGAGAGATAGAAACATCAATGATGAGAGAGAGTCATTGATTGGCTGCCTCCTACACACTCCCTACTGGAGATGGAGGCCCCAACCCGGACATGTGGAATTGAACTGTGACCTCCTGGTTCATAGGTCAACACTCAACCACTGAGCCACGCCAGCTGGACTGGGATGCCTCTTTTTAAAAACTAAGATTCAGCCCGGCCGGGCGTGGCTCAGCGGTTGAGCGTCGACCTAGGATCCAGGCGATCCGGGTTCGATTCTCGGTCAGGGCACATGCCCAGGTTGCGGGCTCCATCCCCAATGACTCTCTCATCATTGGTGTTTCTATCTCTCTCTCCCTCTGCTGCCCTCTCTCTGAAATCAATAAAGATATATAAAAAAAAATAAAAATAAAAAACTAAGATTCAACCAATAATAATGCCTTGTTGTTTAGTTCAGTAATTTCCAAACTTATTTTAGCAGCAGTTAGCCTTCTTTGAAAGAACCCTCATGGGGAAACACAATGTATTAGTCTGGATGTTTTGGTTTTAGTGGTCTAACTCAAATGAATTTAGATGCAGAAGAGAACTTATTAGTTATTTATTTATACTTATTGTAACAGAGGTGGGCACAGTGTGCTAAGGAAATACCCAGCAGGGCTTTTAGGGAAGGCTTCACAAAGGAAGCGATGCTTGAGCTAACTTTTGAAGGATGATCTCAAGAAGACAAAACGGGAAAGAGCATGCGTACCATGCTGAGGAAAGACCATGCACAAGGGTATCTAAGAGAGCATGTTGTTCCAGAAATGAGAAGCGGAGAGAAGACTGACAGCTAAGCGGCTGCATGTTGTGGTGGTAAGAAAGGCAAATTACTAATATACTTGTGATATTAGATTTTAGTTTATAAATTGTGCGAAGTCACTGAAATATTTTAAAGAGCAGAGTGATATGAATATGTTTTAGGAGGATGTTGGGATTATACCTTGTAGGGACACATTAATAGACAAAATGTAAGAACTCAGGCAAGAGGAGACAGGCTGACTTAAGACAGCAGAACCCTGAAATGGAGAGAATCAATTAATGAAAATATTTCGTAGGTCAAATTGGTATATTGTGGTGAGTATGGGAGAGAAAAAAGTTAAGGATGATTCCTAGGATTCTACATTG